GTCTCCCCTTGCTCCACACACTTCAAGAGTTCATGGAGGGTTCGGTGCAATAGCCTGGCGGCTAAAGTTCTCATCTTGAATGCGCTGGGATCCCATTTGGGAGCCAGTTCTGATCCCGGCAGCCCCGCTTCCCATCCACTTCCCTGCTTGTGGCCTGGGAAAGCAGTCGAGGATGCGCCAGAGCCTTGGGACCCTGCACCTGCGTGAGAGACCTGGAAAAAGCTCCAGGCTCCTGGGTTCAGATCGGCTCAGCTCCGGCCATTGTGGCCGCTTGGGGAGTGAATCATTGGACAGACGTTCTTCCTCTCTGTCTCTCCTCCTCTATATATATCTGAATTTGCAATAAAAATAAATAAAAGAAAAAGTTCGTGGAAAATACAAGATTCTGGCACATGCAGGGCGAGGACTTTAACCACTAAGCTATTACACTGGGCCCATGCATCTTTTTTTTCACCAAAACTTTTTTTCGACGATTTATTTATTTTTATTGGAAAGTCAGACCTACAGAGAAGAGGAGGAGATACAGCAAGGAAGATCTTTTATCTGTTGATTCATCCCCCAAGTGGCTGCCAAAGCCAGAGCTGTGCCGATCTGAAGCAAAGAGCCTGGAACCTCTTCTGGGTCTCCCACATGGTTGCAGGGTCCCAAGGTTTGGGGCTGTCCTCCATTGCTTTCCCAGTCACAAGCAGGGAGCTGGATGGAAAGTGGAGTAGCCAGGATGTGAACCAGTGGCCATGTAAGATGCTGGCGCTTGAAGGGGGAGCATTAGTCAATTGAGCCATTGTGCCTGGCCCATACATAATTAGTTCTAAATTGTTTTTTGCTGGCATATGAAAACTCAAAAGATTTCTGCATATTGAATTTTAAAATCAAGAACAATTAAATTTTTTTATTAATTTCACAAGATGATCAGAATAGTTTTGTTGATTTTCTACATAAAACCCGAAAGTAAGTACAGTTTTGGTGATTGAGGATTCTTTTACCATTGTTTTGTTTTGTGGCTTGAGACAGCATTGTGCAAGGCACACCTGTGACTGGAACGTTACTACCAGCTACCTTAAACATTAAAGAGGAACAAGTACAACTAATTTTATATCTTAACCAGATGTACCAAAAATATTTTAATGTACAACATATATATGTGTGTGTATATACACACACACAATTATTGAGATATTTTGCAGTGGTTTTTTTTTTTTTTTTCAATTTTTGTTTGTGCACTAGGTCTTTGAGATCTAGCATAAAACATCTGAGCCTCATCCTGTTTTAAATGCCCAGTAGTTGCTGTGGCTGGTAGCCCTGTGGTGGCAGCTGGGATGGAGAATCCGCAGTGGCACAGGGCTGGGACTGCAGCTAGCCTTGCCTTGTCACCCATTTCAAAGGGAATGCTTCGCATGTTTCACTATGATCAGCATATGTGCTGTGGTTGCCTAAGATTACTTTCTCGGGATAGAAACATTCCCTCTACTTTGCTATAAGAGGTGTTCTATGTATTTTAAAGATTTATTTATTTTCACTTGAAAGGGCAGAGGAGAAATAGAGATATTTTCCATTAACTGGTGCACTCCCCAAATGCCTGCAAGAGCTGGGGCTGAGCGGGTCCAAAGCCAGGAGCAGGAGTTTCCTCTGGGTCTCCCACACAGGTGCGGGGTCCCAAGGCTTTGGGCCATCCTCCACTGCTTTCCCAGGCCACAAGCAGGGAGCTGGATGCCAAGTGGAGCAACCAGGACTAGAACCAGTCTCCAACTGTGATGCTGGCGCTGCAGGTGGGGGATCAATGTACTATGCCAGGGTACAAGCGCCTACAGGATTTTTAAAATATAAACTCTTGTGGAACTTTCCCTCTGTCTGTTGAGCTGCCCCACCCTTCATCTTCCCCTTCTTCTTTAAGGTGGTCAATGATGTTGATTTCCCAGTGTTAAAACAGTCTTACATTCTGGGACGACCCGGTCTTGATTACAGACTACCAGATTCAGCTGGTTAATACTTAGCTGCACATTTTTCTTTATGTCTGTATTTTCTTTTCTTCTTCTGTACTTGTCATAAAGACCTGGGAAGTAGTCCCTCTTTTTCTATTATGTGGAAGCGATGCGCTGAGACTGGAATGGGGTCTTCACATGGCTCCGGTGTAGCTCTGGGGTCCAAATGTGTGGGTGGGAACACAGCTGTTGACCCAGCGGCTCTATGACACCTTCGCCAAATGATGGACGTCAGATGAAGAAGGCGGTAATGCTCACTCCTCGGTTGGCACATGCCACCTATGCTAACGTCCATGCACTGGGCACTGTCCCAGAACTCGCAGTGGGATGGATGCCACCTGCTGATTTGCACCAGAGTGTCCAAAATACGTCTTGTTGCCTTGGGTTGCATTTGCAAGCTGATGCATAAAATGATTCATAACATCCCATCTTTTCTTCTCCCTTGTGACGTGCCTGCATACGGTGTCTTCTTTTTTTATCAGTTTGACACAAGGCTGTGCCGATCTCATCTGGCCTTTGCCGGTCCTCTGCCTGCTCTCAGATTGACCTTCCTCTGCTTCCCTCCGATCTTGTTTTTTTTTTTTTTTTTTTTAAGAGGCTTATCCTTTCTTCTCTAAAGCTGTTTATTCTTATTTTTAAAAGATTTTTTTTTTTTTTATTGGAAAGTGAGACATACAGAGAGTAGGAGAAACAGAGAGGAAGATCTTCCGCCTGATGATTCACTCCCCAAGCTGGAGTTGAGCCAATCCGAAGCCAGGAGACAGGAGCCTCCTCCAGGTCTCCAGGACCCCAAGGCTTTGGGCTGTCCTCCACTGCTTTTCCAGGCCACAAGCAGGGAGCTGGATTAGAACCGGTGCCTCACCAGCGCACGCAAGGAGAGGACTTTTAGCCGCTAGGCTATCGCACCAGGCCCCCTCTGATCTTCTGAGCTGCATGACCTGTTTGTGCCTTGCTCTCTGCCTCTCTTGCTTCTGAACCCCAAAGTTCACAAACTCCCCTCTGGATAGGGCTTCGGCTCTTTGCCTTCCACTTCCAACACACATTCATACCCAATTCAACATAGTTTGCAATGAACATTATGGTCTAAAAAAGCCCAGTTATTTAGAAATGCATATCTCAATTTCCACGCACATGGCACTGTTGAAGATATCTTTTAGGTGTTAATCTCGAACGTCTAGGTTTTGGGATCACCGAAATGTTTTCCACCTCTTTATACCCATGTGACTTCATGAGATGAATGCTTCACTCCCTCGCGTGCCGCGACCCTGACGATGTCCTGTGCTACGGGTCGTACTTGACAAACGGCCGCGAATCGGGTTCACTAATCAAGTTGTTAAATTGCCCGAGTCTTCTCTCTGCTTGTTTGTCCTTTGAACTCAGGACGGCCGTTCAGCATCTCCCACTGTAACCAGGATTCCTTCGTGTTTCTGGTAGGCGAAGACCACAGTTCAAGACTTTGAAATCTTGATTTTCCGAGAGAAAACAGAAGCCTTCGCCACGTGAACAAACCGGGTTTGTGGCTTGAGATGCTTTTCCCTGCTCTTTGTTGGCGTTTATTTGCATGTGTTTCCCCCACGCCTGGACTTCCAGCTCCCCAGAGCTGATGTGCCTCCTGGGGCTGCCTCTTGTTTTACTCCTGATCTACTTTGTATTTGAACTGCGCTGTTTACTTCGCCCGCAGCTGCTCCATTACGGGACATTTGCATCCGTGTCCCTCACCCTTTGTCCCGCCGTGCGCTATTGATTTTTCTCTCCCCAGCTAGTCCCCCGCTTTGGGAATGTTTGGTTGGCTTTCTCATTCCACTTCCTCTTCTAATAACTTGGATAAATATGACAGCTGGTTTTCCATTGTTTCATTGTTTACCCTAGCCAGGACGGCTGGAATTCTTAACGCATCGGGTTTTATTTTCCGTTCCTCTCTGAGCTTGGAAAAGTCCTAGCACACTGGTCCAACTGCACGCACTCACACTGGGCACCTTTGGGGGCGCGTCTTCACTCTCCTGGGCACCCGGATAATGTCGTTTTAGTTCCCGGTCTGGTCTACACCGCGTGTTCTTCCTCATCCCCCTCAGAGCCGTCTCTGGCGCTTTGCCTCTGGCCCCTAAGTTACCGCGTTGGAATTTCTTTGGGGGAGGATGCCAAGTTCTTAAAACAATGTATTTGCAAATGTCACAATTTCCACCCCTCCTCTCTCCCATTCTAGAAAGCCATTAGTCTTTGCCGAGCACCGTAATTCGACTTCGATGATTTTCCCTGGAAGTGGAAAATTCTTCGGGTTTTTTTTTTTTTAATCGTGCCGTGGCCTCCCGGCTCCTTTGCTCTCCACAGCTAGATGTCAACCTCCGAATTCTGTTCTCCGGAGCGTCACGAGCTTAATTCTGAGGGAAAAGAACCCAGCCAGAACCCCCGGTGAGGAAGGAAGGGATAGCAAAGTCCTGTGACGGAGGCCGGGGACAAGTTCTCGAAAAGGACTGGGGGCTCTCGGCACGGCGCGGAGCTGAGGGCCCGTGGACGTCCCGGGGTGGGCGCAGCAAGGGGAGCAGGGACAGCCGGGGCGCCGCGGCGACAGCACACGAGGTCGGGCGGGTGTGTGTGGGGTCAGCCTGGGTCTGGGTCCCCGGACTCCGGGCCCAGACCGGGTGGGAAACGCCTTGCGCCCGCTTCCTCAGGCGCGCGTGAGGGGCCGCGTCGCGGGCGCACGAGCCCGGCTCAGGCCACGTGAGCGCCGCACCAAAAAAGTCCCGCCGCCCGCGGCTCGCGGAGGGGGCGGGGCCTGGACGCGGCGCGCGCGCGGGCCGGACACGCCCCCTCCCCCCGCGCTCGCGGCCCCGCCCCGCCCCCTCCGCGCTCGCGCCCGGCCGCTCGCTGGCGCCGAGGAAAACGTTGCGCAGGTTCCAAAATGGAACGTCGGCGGCGTGAGGGAGCGCGAGGGGGTGTGCGCGCGTGCGCGTGCGCGTGCGCGCCCGGGCGAGGGTGACGGGGGACCCCGCTGGCCCCGAGCCTCGCGCGCAGCAGCCGCGGCCCCGCAGCTCCGCCCCCGGCCCGGCCCGGCCCCGGGCCCGCTCCTCCGCCGCCCCGCATGGAGCTGTCAGCCATCGGCGAGCAGGTGTTCGCTGTGGAGAGCATCCGGAAGAAGCGCGTACGGAAGGTGAGGCTGCTCGGGGTGCGCGGGGTTGGGTGGGGGGCGGGGAACGGCTCCCGGGACCCCCGTGGGGTCGCCTCGGGTCCTCCAGCACCGCCCCTTCCACGCCTGGCGGGGGGAGCCGGAGAGTGGGGGCTGGGGGAGTCCCGGGGAGCATTGGCGCTGCTAGGCTCGGGTCCCCAGCCCGTGCCTCAGTTTCCCCGTGCAGGGAGAGTAGAGTAAAAGTTACCGGTCCGGGATGTGTGTGTGTGTGTGTGTGTGTGTGTGTGTTCAGGGCGGGGGTGGGAGAATCCTGAGCGCCGCCCGCCTCATCCCACTTTTACTCCAAATACGGGGAGACTGAGGCCCAAGCTGAGGAACCTGCCTCCGCCTGTTGGGGTTCGAGCCGGGTCTCGAACTCGGGGCGCTTAGTACCGAGGCCTTTTGAAGTTGGTGGCCGAGCTTTGGAAAAGTCTGCTCGCGCCTCAAGTTTTCTTGTTTGGACTTTGCCCTCTCCCGGTCCCTGCCAACACCTCCCCCGCCCCCCAGCGCACACCCCTCTTCCCGCCTCCCTCCTCCTCCTCTCCCTCCTCCCAGCACGTCCAGCACCGGGGCATCCTCCAAGCTCTTCCCCTTCAGCCTGCCTCTTGGGGAGTCCTCCTGCTGGGTCCCCCCCTGCATCCCTCGGGCTGAGACCCCCTGCACCCGTGTTGCCCCCCAACCCGCCAGGCAGTCGCACTTCCTATTGAGGGGGCTCTCTTTGGACTGCTGGGTGAGATCTTTGGGGAAAAGTTGCTTTCCTGGCACTCGCTCACCAGGTGGTCTTCCCTCATCCCCCTGCAGGGTTGGGGGATGGTGGGGAAGAGCCTGAGCCTTGACCTCCTGCTAATTTCCCAGGATCCAAAAGGGGGAGACCTGACCTGCTCAAGGTCGCACAGCTGGCCAGGTTGGGAGGCAGGGCTGGGGCGCTCTGCTGGCCGCAAGCCAGCGCATCTTCTGCCTGGGGAGAAATCTCAGCGTTGGTGTCTTGGGCCAAGGACGAGGCACCCAGTGGGTCTTGGGTCTTCTGTCCCCTTTGCCAGCCTCTCTTGTCTCTTGGTCTGGGGGCTCCCTTGCTCCCCAGGAAAGGATGAATTCCTTTAGTCCAGTGGTTACCCGGGCTCTGAGGGGAGGGTGGGGGCCAGTATTTCTCAGCTGGCACTGGACAAGCAGCTCTCCCTTACCCAGCAGGGGCACCCTGCTCTGTTGGGTCAGGGGGAGAGGGCCGGCAGCGGGAGGAGAGGCCAGGAGATGGCACGGCTTGGTCTTCAAGTTCTGGTAAGCAGGATCTTGGTCCGCTTCCCCGGGCCTGGCTCTGTTGTTGCCTAGCAACTAGAGCGCACACCCATCCCCATCTCTGAGGGGTTTTTCAGGTGAGGAGGGCAGGTTGGAGGAGGAGGCGCTCCAGCAACAGCTTCCTAGGGCTTGGAGCCTTCCATTTTAGAGCGGTAGGGCAGAATTGGGGTCTTGCACAGGGACCCTGGTGGGGGGCTCTTGGGTGGGGACATCTGTCAGCTCCCACCTGGTCTCCCATATCCCCACGTGTGTCGTGGTGGCAGCAGGGAGGGCCGTCTGGGATGGCCGTGGAACATGGGGACTGGGTTCGGTATGGGAAGCGCTATCCTGTGAATGGTTGTGGGACGACTGTGGGGCTTACCATGTGTTTCTCTCTCCTCCCAGGGCAAAGTCGAGTATCTGGTGAAGTGGAAAGGATGGCCCCCAAAGTAAGGTCCCCACCACCCATCTGCCTGCCCACCCCCTCCCCGCCAGCTCTGGGCTTTATCAGCGTTTAGCCCCAGCTGCTCTGCACCTGGGCCCTGACCTTGGAGGCGCCTCTTCTTCCTCCCCGACTCCCTGTGGGGCGGTCTGTCCTGGAAAAGCCCCTGCGGTGAGCTCCTGAGCCCACGTGGCCCAAGCAGGACCCTGAGTGCATCTTGCCTTGGTGGCCCGCAGGTTTGGCCTGTAGAGTTCCCAGGTCTCAAAAGGAGGAGACCAGCTCAGAGAGGAGCTCCCATCCTGGGCTGCACCGCTGCAGCTGACCCCTCTCCCACTTGCTCCACCTCTTTTACTCCGGGCCCAATTGGGAACCTTCCCACCAACCAATCATCTCTTGGCAGCGGGTTGATGGAGGAGGGAATGAGCCAGTCGTGGGGCCTCCCCATTGGCCTGTAGATGCCCCACCCCCTGGAGACCAACTCCTGGAAACCCCCTGTGCCCAGAGCTGCACTGTGAGTGCCGGGGGTTTCTGCTGTAGCCGGGCGAGCAGGTGCTGCTGCTCTGGCATTAGGTGCTGGGGCACCCCTGGGAGATAGTGGAGTGGACTCAGCTTCCCTCTGTGAAATGGGTTTGACAGTCCAGGATCTGCTTACTCCTAAGAGGCCTTGTTGGGTGGATGGTCTGGGCATGTGTGCTGGATGCCCACAGATGGGCAGGGGCACAGCATGGAGGTGATGGGCCTGCTTACCCCCTCTCCCACTGCCACCCCAGCCTCCCAGAGGCAGAAGTCCTCTGTGGGGACTGCTCAGGGGCCTGCATGGGCCTGAGTGGGGGAGCAGTCAGAGGAGCCCCCACTCCTGAGCTGGCGGTGCCCCTCGCAGCTCTGGGACTGGAGATGCACTGGTTCTGGCTTGTCAGCCTGCAGCTTCTGCCAGCTCGTTTCCAGCGTTTTGAAGGTTTGCTACTCTAAACAGAGGCCCGCGTCAACGCCAGGTTCTTTCTGCCAGTTGCACTGACCTTGCTTAGGGACATGTCTGGCCAGCGGGGCTTCAGTCGCGGGGGTGGGAGCGAGCATACCCAAGCCGAGACTTGCACTGTGTTGCCTGTCTGGGGTGGGAGGAGGGGGATTCAGGGCCGTCAGCAGCCCCCCTCTCTGCGCAGGGGCCACAATTCCAGGCCCCACAGGTAAAGCCAGGCAAGGCCGTTCCTGTCTGCTCTGCCAATACCTTGGGGGAGGCAGGCAGGTAGGGACACAGAGACCTTCTGGCTGCTGCCCCATGACACAGGAGGAGCTGGGAGCACCCTGGAGGACGCTTCCAGCAAGGGACCCCCGGATCCACTGTCATCCGGGCTGCCCAGGAGCCTGCGGCTCCCCCTTGGGCAGTGAGGCCTGTTTCCTTAAGATCTGGAAAGCAGTTTTGCTGTTGGCATTAGTGGGCAGGGCCACAGCCAGGCTGCTCAGCAGCACGCCTGAGGCAGGGTACAGATGCCCACAACAGGGAATAATCTCCCACGGTGGCTGCTTTGTCCTCCATGCTGGATCGGCGGATGTTGGCATTCCTTAGGTCCCACGCGGGATGTGCTGCGTCTCATCCAGACCTAACTGCAGCCAGCACCGTGCATCCCCATTTTAAACTGGGACCCAGAGACCTGGCTCTGCTGGGTCGCTGCGGGGGTTTGCACCTGCCCCTCGGGCGCCTGGGGCACCGGTCGCTAGGACACCCCACTATCCCGCTTTGACCTCCTCACTGCAGCGCCCGGGAAGCCCATCACATCCCCGCGGTCCTGGGCTTGTTTATCGGGCGTGGGGGCGGGTCCTGGCGGTCACGTGGTCGTGTTTATCTCCGAGCCCGAGCGCGCTGCCTCCGCCCCTTTCAGTTTGCCTGGTAATCCCGGCGTGAGTGCGTGCTTGCGTGCGCGCGCTCGGCCAGGGAGGGGCGGGGCGAGAGCCGCCCGCAGGCCCCGCCCCGGCGGCAGGCTCCGCCCTTCAACCACCCCATTGAGTTGGGGCCAGTCTGGTGGTCCCCGCCTCCGGCTCCTCCCAGGTAGGAAAACCATCCCTGTCTGTGAGGCCACTCTTCCCGAGCGCCCCCCCCCCCCCCGGGCCTCGGCAAAGCCCTCCGCAAAATGATGGGGTCACTCAGGACACATTTCATCTGTGTGTCGTGGAAAGAACGGCTGCTAGGTCGAGCCTGCACACCTGCTGTGAAGGCGGATTTTAGGGCAAGGACTCTATCCACTAGGACCCTGGTGATTCCTGAGCGGGATTGGGCCGGCCGGGGCTGTATGGGGTGCACTGCACATCCCCACCCCGCCTCCGGGAGCTGGGACCTGTTTGATACTGTGCGAGATGTCCCAGGAAACTTCAAGATCACTGTTCCCTTTCTATTTTGGGGAAAGTTGCAGAGCGGGAGCGGGGGTGAAGACCGAACTTCTGTGTACTAGCTCACTCCCCAGATGGCTGGACTAGGAGGAAGCCGGGAGCCAGGAACCTCTTCTGGGTCTCGTGTGGGTTTAGGTGCCCAGGTATTTAATCCATCCTCCGCTGCTTTCCCAGGGCATTAGCAGAGGAGCAGCTGGGATGAAGCAGTCTCTTTACAGGATGCCAGGTCACAGGTGGCAGCTTTACCTGCTGCTGCACATGCTGGCCCCTAAATCAAGGTGTGAGGTGAGCTGGTCAACAGGACAGGGTCTCCGCCCAGCCTCTGCCACCTGTCGCCCCTCTAAGCTCTCACGCCTTCTGTGTTGCCCAGCATAGCTCTGGCTAGGATCACAGAGGTTTGCGTGTTACACGTATGTGTGTGTGGGTGTGTTGCTTGTATGCATATTTGTTTGTTAGACAAGAGTGCAAGCCACTATTGCCTGCTGTCTTTCCCCAGGCCCCTGCAGTGGCCAGGCCTGTGCTGGACACGGGAGCTCCTTCCAGGTCTCCCATCTGCAGGAAGTGGGAACCCTGAACCAGGAATTGGACGCTCTGATATGGAATGTGGGCTGTGTACCTACTCTGGACATGTGTGTGTGCTTTCCAATTGCAGAATCTTCTGTGGTTGTATCTGTTTATTGCACATGTCGCTTTTTTTTCTTTTCCAAGTTTGTCTTTAAAATAAAGTGGCATTGTGGTAAGGCGGGTAAAGCTGCTACCAGTGATGCCAGCATCCCAGGTGGGTACCTGTTCGTGTGCCAGCTGTTCCACTTCCTGCTGATGTTCCCAGGAAAAGCCACAGAGGATGACCCCAGGGTCAGGGCCCCCGCCACCCACTTGGGTAGCCCAGATGAAGTTCCTGGCTCCCAGCTTTGGCCCCAGGCAGGCAACCATGGCTTCCACACAGGCGGGGTGGTGCTCACCTCTTGTTCCTGTCACCAGGTACAGCACGTGGGAGCCGGAAGAACACATCTTGGACCCCCGCCTTGTCATGGCCTACGAGGAGAAGTAAGGGGCTGCTGTCTGCTGTTGGCTCGGGGCAGGAGGGCACCTGATGGGGCACCCCGCATGGTCTACAGCTTAGGAAGCAGTGATACTGAGACCCCTGGCCCCTAGTGTGTTGCTGGGTGCTGGTGGCCGCTTCCTTTGCCCACCCAGGCCTCTGCTGTAAAGTAGGCCCCAGTTCTGGTTCATGGAGGTGCCCTGTGTCCAGGGGCTAGGCCAGGGAGGCAGCGGTGGCAGACCAGGGACAGTCTGCCTCCCTGTTACAGCAATCCAAGCAGGGCAGGTGGCCTTCGGAGCCGGGGCTGAGCCGCCTTGCTGCGTGACCCCATGGGAGTCCCAGCTTTATCTGGGAATATGATAAAGGCACATCGCGTGCCTGGCAGGTGTGGCCCTTCCCACCATGACCACCTTAGGCATTTGAAATAGGTGTCTGGATTCCCTGGGGTAGGCTGATCCCTTCCTGAAATTTGGAGCTGTGGGGCGACCTGAACGGGAAGCGGAAGTAAGTGTTGCTGGCTTCTGCACCTGCGTGCGCATACATGTACATACGTATGTGCTGCACACGTCTTCCTTGCACTGTTCTGGGGAGCCTCTGCTGTGTGTGATACATGTTCATGGCCCCTGGTACAGGGACAGGGTCCAGCCTGCAGGTTTGCCGAGTAGGTGGCGCAGACAGCGGGGACCTGTCCTCCAGGTTGGTCCAGCTCACACCCTGGGCGGGCTGGACAGAGTGGTGCTACGGCAGGCCTTGCCACACCCCTCTACGGCCCTAGCTTGCCCTGGCCTTCCTCCAGAGCAAGCCTTGTGCCAGGTGTTTGCAACATCAGAGCACATGCTGCGGCCACACTGGGGACAGTTCCCCCAGCACACAGGACAGAGCCTCTGAGCTCCCACATCACTCCAAGCAGCTCTGAGTCCCGCCTCACTGACCAGCGGACCAGCGACCTTCCTGCTGGCCAGATGTGAAGCCCGAGCCCCCCAGCATGACAAGTGGGGAGGTTTGGGGCAATGGGCCAGGGCTGTGGGGTGAAGCAGATGCTGGGCCATCGCCTGGGGAGTCACCAGTATTTCCTTTTCTCTTGCCACCTGCCGCTCACCCCAGGGAGGAGAGAGACCGAGCATCAGGGTATAGGAAGAGAGGTCCGAAACCCAAGCGGCTCCTGCTGCAGGTAAACCAACCAGCAGTATAGCACTTCCGTTCTCTCTCCTGGCCTCAGCCCCTCCCTGGATCCTGCAGGCAGTGTGGGTGCTGGGGAGGACATGTGACTCATGGAAGCCCAAGATGTTTTGAAAGCTTAGAGACTGAACAGGCCTGCTGATGCGCGACGTCCCAGGCATAAATCGGTAACCCTTGGGAGTCCTAGAACCCTAAGGAATGAGGGACTGTGGGAGACCCATAGAACCCTGGAGCTGCAAGCATGGAATAGTGGGCTTGAGACCAGAAGGCGCCTCTCCCAGGGCTGCCGGTGGGTCCCTGCGTCTCAGCCGTGGCTGGGGCACTGCGCTGACGGCAAGGGTTTCAGTGGACAGCAGCTTAGACTGCAGCTACGGGCATCCTGGGATTCAGGACAAGTGCCTGGAGTGCTTGGTGCAGTGGGGGTGTCTGAAGCCACACAGTCTGTCCCCATGTGATGTGGCCCTCCTGGTCCTGGAGCATCCGGGTCTCCATCCGTATGGCAGCCAGACTGCCTGGCCTGCCTCCCCAATCTCCTTTTGGGCCCTGTGGTCGCCGTAGTTCTCAGGGGCCGAGAGTTGATAGGAGGGGTGGGCTTTGGGGAAGTGGGGCAGGCAGAGCCTCCAGCCTTGTGGGATTGTCCTTTCCCCTGGGAGCTCTGCCCCTGATGCTGCCGCTATGGGAGCACTTGTCCCCTGGTCACAGGTGCAGCAGGAGTTTTCCCCAGAGTGATGCGGGGCTCCCGGCACCGTGTTCCTGCTCTCCTGGGTTACAGGGCTGCATCCCAGCAGGGTTGAAGGGGACACCAGCAGGCCTGGGCCCTCCAGGGCCCCACCCGGAGCTGCTGTCTCCACGGTGGCTTTTGTAACACCTGCCCCTTTTCCGCACATCCGCACTTTTTCTGTCTGCCTCTTAAGTGCTCCTCCAACGTGCAGCAAAGGAATCAGCCTTGCGGTCCCCATCCCAGGGGAGGGGCAGGGGCCTGAGGGCTTGGCGAGCAGGTGCAGTGGGATTGGAGGCGGGGCTGACCCGCCGTGCCCTGGCTTGCCCCTCCTCCCCCGCAGCGGCTGTACAGCATGGACCTGCTGCGGCGCTCCCACAAGGCCAAGGGCAAGGAGAAGCTCTGCTTCTCCCTGACGCGCCCTCTCGGCAGCGGGAGCCCCGAGGGGGTGGTCAAGGCGGGGGCGGCCGAGCTGGTGGACAAGGGCCCGTGGGTGCCCACCCTGCCCTTCCCGCTCCGCAAGCCTCGCAAGGCCCACAAGTACCTGCGGCTCTCACGCAAGAAGTTCCCGCCCCGCGGGCCCAGCCTGGAGAGCCACAGCCATGGACGGGAGCTCTTCCTGCAGGAGTCGGCAGCCGCAGACGCCCTGCAGTCGGCCGGCGAGTGGGAGCCCACGGAGCAGCCCCCGGAGGAGGAGGGTGAGTCGGTGTGTCGGTGCAGGGCCATGGGGACTGGTGGGGTTGACAGGGCATGCCGGGACTGTCGCTGGGGTGTCCCTGGGCTGGCTGGAGAGGCGGGGGGGACGGAGCCGGGTTGGTGTCCGGCCTGTGCGCGCCCACCTGCCTGCCTTACTCTTGCCCTGGCCTGTGTCTGTCTTCGTCCTGCGGCTGCAGCAGACACAGACGCGGCCGATGGGCCCCCTCCCTGGACACCCACGCTCCCCCCGAGCGAGGTGACTGTGACCGACATCACGGCCAACTCCATCACCGTCACCTTCCGCGAGGCCCAGGTGGCCGAGGGCTTCTTCCGAGATCGCCGCGAGAAGTTCTGAGTCGCTGCCCGGCATCTACGCTTAAACTGTTTTCTTTCTCGGGGGCTTGTGGTGGGGACTCCCACAGACAGGGAACTGTTCGGGGAGGGGTAATTATTTTATTTAAAAAAAAGATACAAGCAGAAGAAGGGGGGCGTTGCTGCCACCCTGTCTTTCTCTGTGAGGGACTCTAGGGATGAGCTTCTGACCAGGGCTCTGAACCCAGGGCAGGCGGTGTGGGGGGGGGGTCACCGGTCCTGCCGAAACTGGAGGAGCCGGAGGAGCCGGCAGGACCAGAGCCCCTCGCTTCTCCCACCCCCCTACCCCCAGCTTGGGTGGATTCCCAACTTGACACTCCTAAGCTGTATGCAGATGTGGAGGCCACTTTGACCCCAGGGAGGAGGGCGGGAGGAAGGGCAGCTTGCTGAGCCCCTCTGCTGAGCGTGTGCCCTCCCCTCTGCGCCTGGCCTGTGCACACACTGGCACACGCAGCCCGCTGCACGCATGTGTGCGTGCTGCTCTCCATGAACGTGTCCGCATGGGCCTTGCAAACCTCCCTGAGTAGGTGAACGTGAGGCCAGTTCACAGCACAAAGACCCTTGCCACGACTTGGCCTTCCCCGCCTTGCACGCACAGCCCTGACAGCACGTTTGGGCCTGGGTCACTTGCAGCTGTCGGCAGAGGGCGGGGCTCTGGCTGCAGGAGTGCCAGCTTTGCTGGGCACCCCCCACCCCAGGCGGCAGGAGCAGCTGCCCCGCCTCTCCTGCCCTTCCCCCCCTTGGAGCCTCTTGTCCTTTCTGACTCAGGTGACTTTGCAACCCTTCCAGCTCGCCGTGTTTTCTGCTCTGCCCTCCCTGTGCCTCTGTTGGCCCAGATGTGGACGGTCAGGGAGGGAGGGAGTGTCCCCCCACTTCTCAGGGCAGTCTTGACTCCTGAACCCCTTCCTTCTGCACTCCGTCCCCTCCCTGTCCCAGCTGTGGGCTCTGGTGGCGGGTGGTCAGCCTGCACACCAGCCCCACATCCTGGTTAGGGCTGCATCTACCCCGTGGGGGGCTTGTTTCCTAGCGGGGTGCATAGGTGCCAGGCTGGAAGCTGGGGCCAGGGAGTGACTTCTCACAAGGAGAGCATGGAGAAGGCCTCCTGGCTTTCCCAGTGCAGCCCGGCCCTGCTGTGGCCCCAGGAAGGCCCCTGGTGTCTGCGAGCAGGGGTGGTGCCTCTGTCCCTAGGCCTGGCCTCCCCACTTCCCAAACCAAAGACGTCTGTACCCCGCTTCCCATGATGCTCTCCCTTCCTGGTCCCTAGGAGTCTAGGTCAATTCTGTGCTTCCACTGGAGGTGGGTCCCCACTGGGGTCCCCTCGTTCACCTCCGGTCCGGGACATGGAGTCCAGAGGAATGTGTTGGAGGGCAGCAGGAATCGCCACCAAACCGAGCTATAGGCTGCTAGGGGGCTCTCCCGGGCAGGGGGTCCAGCAGGGCTGGAAGAGCAGTGTCCAGCTGGCCCTGTTGCCTTGTGTCTCTGGGATGTGGCAGCAGCTCGCCTGCCGTGCAGGGTGGCTCCGTGGCTGCAGCCTGTGTTCTGCAGTAGCAGCAGGACCTCGCCCCTGTGGAAGCCTGTGACCCTGGGGAGGCTGGGTTCCTTGTGGGCAGCCAGGAGCCAGGTGACCTCTGCCAGGAACAGGTGCGGCCATGCAGGCCTTCTCTCGGCCCCCTCCAACCCCAGCCCTCCAGATGGCCAGTACTCTTGGGGTGGGGGGGTCTTAGGAAGCGCATAGCCCCCTCCCCTCTCCATTATTTCTCCAGCCCACCCCGACCTGAATGTAGAGACCCCTGGGTGATTCCCTCTTGCTGTGGGGCTGGGAACTGGGGCCTCCTGCTTGGCGCCGCCATTGGGAGGGTCCCCACTGCCAATGTCCCTCCCCCAGGAGCACCTCCTTTGCACAGAATGAGCTCCGAGCTTCGTTCAGACTCAGTGAATGTATGGGGAAGGGGTGGGGCGCGAGTGGCCTGTGGCAGAGCGGTCGCACCATGTGCTTCTATTTTTGTACTGACGTTGGTAAGAGACTGTATAGCATCTATTTATTTAGATGATTTATCTGGTAAATGAGGCAAAAACTATTAAACACACATTAAAGGTGATTTTAAAAAGCTCTTGGGTTTTGGGTTGCATTGCTTCCCTGGGTGGCACCCCTGTGTTCCAGGGCTAAGCCACAGCACTGGAGCCTGGCTCTTGGGGTCCGGCTCTAGCAGTTCCTGCTTGTGATCTTGGACGTTGAGGAGGGCCTCCCGGGCACCTGGCCCACTGGGCAAGCCCCTAGCCAAGGGCCGTGCAGACCCCTGTCCTCGCCGCAAGGGGGCCCTGGTCGCCAGAGCCTCCCCCTAGCTATCCCTCTGCATGGCTGTCCCGCCCACTGCACCCCTGCTGTGTGGTCTCGGCACCTCCCTCTGCTCCAGGACAGGAAAGACCACTCTAGTGACAGGAGCTGGGCCCCTTGCACCGCCCAAGTGGGTGGTGCCCACTGTTTCTCTACTGGACCTACTCGCATTCCCAGATCTTGCACTCCGCAGGTGGTTGGGCAGTTTAGCTTGACAGAGTTTGTTCCCGTGGCAGCATCTGCTAACTGATGCTGCGACAAAGCACACCCACTCTGACATGCTCACCAGTGGAAATAGTGGCCCAGCACGGGAGCTTCCTCCTGAGAAGGGAGGAGGGGGTCTCATGTCTCCCCCTGTGAGCGAGAAGGGTGGGAAGGCACAGAGAACGGGTCACTGCAGCCTCTCCCAGCATCCTGGAGGCTCCTGCTGTCCTTGAAAATATGCCTGCGAGGTCTTCCCTCCTCTGGCGCTGCAGGTTTAGGTTTGTGCTCAGTCCCAGCTTTTAGGGGCCGTCGGTGGGAGTTGGAGCCAGTGTGCTCTAACTCAGGGGTCGGATGTTGCGCTCCAGGAGCTTCCTGGGTGCAACGAGACTGTGGGAGATCGGAGGACGGAGAGATAAGAGAAGGACCGTCCGGGTTCAGGTCGGCAGCCCCGGGTCGTGCACCTGCCATCCCCACCACTAGAGGGCGTTTGTGCAGGTCACTTTGTCGTTTTTATCTGTGATCAGCCAGCCAATACCTGTGCTTCCAGAGACCACATGGAACCCAAGCCCTTATCACCCCTTCCTCTTCAAATCCCAATACAGCGGCGGGAAAACACAATAGGCAGGCGACACCTGCAGGGGCCACCCAGCCTGTGAAAATGGCAGGGAAGGTTCCAGAAGGCACAACAGTGGCTGAAGCCAGAGAGGCACAGGGGTGCATCAGAGCTGACTGGGCAGCAGAGGCAGGCTGGAGGCCGCGAGCTGCTTACAGACTTGCGGATGAACTCTGCTAGGAAGCAATGACCCACGACAGCAGGTGGAGAAGGTGGTAGACCCCACTCGACTGCGGCCATGAGGACAGGAGCCGCCCACAATGCCGTCACTGACCTGCCTGCTCAGGTGAGTGACCTGTAGGCTACCGTGAGGAGACCTGACACAAGCCCCCTGGGTCCCCTGGGTCCCCTGGGTCCCCCGGAGCCCTGGCACAAGGCTCCCTCCCACCGAGCAGTTTCTGAGAATTCTGGGAGGTTCACTACAAAGCGTAGGTGCGTCGTGTCCGGGTGCAAGGTCGCACCCCGAATAGCTGTGTGTCACAGGACACCTCAATGAAGGGTCACACACTGAGCAGGCTAAAGGCAACAAATGTAGCAGGGGGTATTAAACATCCCTGATGGAGCTGGCCTTGTGGTGCAGGAGGGCTGGGCTCCAGCCCACGGTATTGGCATCCTGTATCCAGGGATCCAGGTACTGTAGGTGGTGGCTAAATTGTGTGTGTCACAACACGGGGCCCAACTGCTGCCTCTCAGCCAGGTGGACATGGTCCATCCCACATCCAGACTGCTTTCCCAGACTCCTTTGCTGGTGGTCACGTGCAAAAGGAAAGCTCCGGCAGCGTCTGTCCCGCCTCCCTAAGATAGAGTGTGTAGGGTCTTTGCACCTTGCATCTCACGTCCCAGGATCCTGGGACCCTCAGGCTAGATTCTCTCTCAGCATTTACACCCTCTTGCTTTGGTTTCTCAGGCGTCTAGAGTGAGCCACACTTCTGAACCATCCCTGGGTCTTAGCATGAACAGAAATGAAATACTTCAGAGACGGCAGCAGCCAGGGCAAGCACGGCTTGAGTCGTCATGGGCAGGTGCACTTTGAGGGGATTTAAACAGAAGGCTTTCACCATGAAGAGGAGCTGCTCCTGAAATCATATTTATTTTTTAAAAGATTTATTTATTATTTTATTGGAAAGGCAGACATATAGATAGGAGGAGAGACAGAGAGGAAGATCTTCCGTCTGATGATTCACTCCCCAAGTGGATGCAACGGTTGGTGCTGTGCCAATCCAAAGCCAGGAGCCAGGAGCTCCATCCGGGTCTCCCTTGTGGGTGCAGGGTTCCAAGACTTTGGGCTGTCTTTGACTGCTTTCCCAGGCCACAAGCAGGGAGGTGGATGGGAAGTAGAGCTGCTGGTACTAGAACCAGTGCCCATATGGGATCCAGGCACATGTACCCCAAAATCATAATTAATGGGGGCTGGCAGCAGTGAGTCAAGCTGCAGTTTGAGATGCTGTCCTCCTGTAGGTGAGCCAGTTTGAGTCCCTGCTGTTCCACTTCCTATCCAGCTCCCTGCTAATGTGCCTGGGAGAGCAGCTGGTGTCTCCTGCCACCCACTGGGAGACCCAGATCAAGGTTGCTTCTGCTTGGTCTAGCCCTGGCTGTTGCCATTGGGGCAGTGAGTGGTTGGGAGGTTTGTCTCGCTCTCTCTCTGTAGCTCTGCTTTTCAAATAAGTAGAATAGTGTTAACATATCACATGTATTTCTGGGATCAGGAACTGCTTCGTGTCTCTTTGCCACAGAGATTTTAATTTTTTGAAACCTCAATATCATTCTCAGGTTTTGTGCATCTTTTAAAAGATTTTTTTTTATTTAAAAAACAAATTTACAGAGGAAAGAGAGATTTTCAACCAGTTCTTTCCCTCCCCAAAAGGCCGCATCAGCTGAAAGATGTGATCTGAAGCCGGGAGCCAAGAGCTTCCTCTGGTCTCCCACCTAGATACAGGGGCCTAAGGACTTGAGGCACCCTCTACTGCTTTCCCAGGCCACAAGCAGGGAGCAGGATGGGAAGTGGAGCAGCCAGGACACAAACTGGTGCCCGTATGGGGATACTGGCGCCACAGGCAGAGATCTAGCTGGCCCCATGTATTTTTTTTTAAGAGTAAATTGAGGCACAATGAAATGCTTTAAAGAGTCCGCTTGAGGTACACCATGAATTGGGAAACAGCACACTGAAGGAGGCATGGTGCTCAGTGCAGAGCGGTCCACCGACGGCTGCTGCGAGGAAAGATGGAGGTGAAGGGACCGCTGCATTGGGGTGTGTGGGACCGCCCAGTCGCTCAAGCCCACGTCCGTGCATCAGTGCGCGTGATCCGCTGAGGTTAGCTCAGGGCAGTTTCACTTTGATCTGTTGTTGATGTTCTGGACCTCCTTTCTGCCGCAGCACCAACCTTGACCGAGCCTCTTCAGAGCTTGCCTGGGCAGTGCGGGGGTGCCTCCATCTGGCTTCCCTACAATCAGGAAACCCAAACTTCCATTCCTTTTTTCCTTTTAAAGATTGATTTTGTTTATTTGAAAGCCATTGCTGCTATTGTTGCTACTATTGGTCACGTTTAGTGTTACTGTTAATATTATTGTGGCTCAATTCATTGTTACTGTTGTTAGGTCCAAAATCGTCCCACGGTCCCAGGTCCCAGCGTTGGATAGCAAAGAACCAGACGTGGATGCAATCAGCAAGCAGAGTTTATTGAGCTGGCTAGCCAGGGTCAAGCTCCTCACAGGGACACGCAGGACCGGACTGGTGGATGAAGCAAGACCCCGAGCCAGGGACAAGCCAGATTCTTATAGGCCAGTATGGCCGTTACAGCAAAGCCTGCGCCCGCGAAAAACACTCCAATTATTTTAAAGAAAATACAAAATACTCCAATCAAATACAGGCAAGACTAAAGGCCTGCGAAATGCCTCAAGCCCTTATTCATCATGACAAGACCGAAAACACTCTAAGTTAAGGGGTTACAGGTGCAAAGCAATAGGTGACTATCTGTGAAACACAGGACATGTGGCTGTTCACTCTTATCAGGGCCACTGACCCTTACAGCCTGAGTCTGGGGGTGGGGCCCAAGTTATTTGTAAAACTTCTCCTTTTTACTTTAAATTCAAGCTGCTTCTGACTTATTCAAACCACCTCCAGCATTCAGGCCTTCCAACATTTTGGTTAAAAGGCCTAAATACTAAAAGTAGTTCGAACAAACCCTTGAACATTTTGGTTGTCTCTGTCACTGTGGTTGGCTTCATTGTTAAAACTGTTGCTGCTGTGCGAGTTATTTTCATGGTGACACAGAAAACATTTCTAAGTGGAATCCCTTGACTTGACTTTCTGCCTTGTTCCACCTGGCAGTCTCGCGCGTCCAGCTGGCCCCTGACACCACAGCTTGAAGTCGTACCTAGAACCCTGTACATTTAATGAAGAACTGGCCTTCCATCAGCACTTTCTGGACATGAAGCTGATGTTACCTCGTGGCAAAAGCTTCAAGTGTAAAGAGCCTGGCTCTTCCTCTCTGTCTCTCCTCTCTGTATATCCGCCTTTCCAATAAAAACATAATAAAAATAAATCTTAAAAAAAAAAAAAAGAAAGAAAGACAGACGAACAGAGAGAGATTTCTATCCAGTGGTTTGCTCCCAGAATAGCCAAGGCTGGACCAGACAAAAGCAGGAGCTAGGGACTCCATGTGGGTCTCCCATATGAGTGCAGAAGCCTAGCACCTGGACCATTGCTGCTTTTCCATGCACATCAGCAGGCAGCTGCATGGGAAGCAGAGCAGCAACCAGGACTGCAAATGCACCCACGTGGGAGCTTAGCCTGGCGTTTGTTCTTGCAGAGCACCTCTGCTCAGTGAAGTTCCACTCTATGTCTTCATATCAATTTTAGACAGCAAGACGGGACCAAGGGACACACAAGTCACAAAATAGGTCCCAGGCTCAACAGGGGATTTTCTTGTCCATTGTTTTCTTATTTATTATTATTACT